AAGAACAATGTGATTAATTGTACTTCATCAAAATTAGAAAACTTGGCCCTTCAAAAGGCACTGTTGAGGTATTGAGAAGACAAGCCACACAGTGGGACATAATAGTTGCACCCTCTGTCTTTAAGGATGATTTTGCCTCTGAGAGGACATTGATAATGTCTGGAAACATTTTTAATTGTCATAACTGGGACAATGTTACTGGTATCCTGTGGGTAAAGACCAATGATGCTACTAAATATCCTACAATACACACGATCCCCAACCCCCACAGTAAAGATTTATCCAGTCCCAAATGTCACTATTATTGAGGTTGACTAGAGTAAGAAGCCACATGGACAATCTTTAACTCTTGCCTCCTTTAGGGCACAGGCCAGTCAGGTTCCAACACCATTTACTAGAATGAGCCCGTAACTCCTTCTTGAAGTCTTGAGGAGGGGACAGTGCCTGGATTCAAATCTGTATGCAGTATGTATTCAAATCTGTATATATGTATCATAATCATGTCCAACGCACCCTTTGGGTACCAAAGACTGTACACATACATGGGGCAGGAAAGGCATTGCCCTCAAAGGCCAGAAAGTGAGAATGTTTCTTAAAGAGCCCTAATTCTGACTTCAAACCCATCCTAGGACTCTTTTTGAGCTAGGTGGGAGTCAGGGTGGTCTTCCTTGCCTGGCTAAGCCTGGTTGTTGAATCACTTCCCTGAGCTGGTGAGCAGCCACCTCCCTCAATGATTAGCTCCCTGATTAACACATCCTTGCTGTCCTGTTGGTGGACCTGGAAGGAGAGACAGAAAGGGGGGGTGGGGGTGGCGTAGTAGTGCGGTCCCCAGAGGCAAGTGGAAGGAGAAATAAGACAGAACACCCTATAGGTGACTCATTAGGGGTCCGAGAGGCAGCACCAGGGACCACAGGGACACTTTGGGCGCTGTGTGCAACTGAATTTTTTACTTCAGCTCTGAGTGGGACTGCCAAATTTTTTCAAGTTAACTCTTAGGAGCAAATGATGAGACAAAGGCTCACTTCACTCCCTGCTCCCTTCTATGCACACCCTTACCGTTTACTGCACTTTCAAAGTTATGTCAAGATTCCAAAACTCTCTCTCCTCTTTAGAGTGCCCCAGGTTAAATGCCATCCCTTTGGCAAGCAAGGCCTTATTCTCTCCCTTCCGAACAGAAGGGGGATCGAGGATCCGGAGGAGTGTGTCTTTTACGGATCTGCTTGACTTACGAGGGGCCTGTCGGTAAACTGAGTCATTCATTCACTAGTCACATTCCGTCTGTCTAGAGCCGCGTACTCAGAAAATTCAGATAATTGGATTTTGAGATTTGGTCAAAACCCGCAGGAACCTACACTTTTATTTGAAGTGAAGATGAAGGCTGTGACTACTTATGAATAGAAACAAAACCCTGGCAGCGGTGGGATTCGAACCCACGCCCCCGAAGAGACTGGAGCCTAAATCCAGCGCCTTAGACCGCTCGGCCACGCTACCAAACCCGCGGGGGAGTTTTGTCTACACTTCCTAGTTAAATCTTTCTGCTCTTTTTTTTCAGCGTTGTTTTCTGAACCTCCAACTGAGACCAAGACTGTAGATATTGCCAAAGGACCCTAAGGAAGAAATTCTTCCTCCCCCTCCCACCCCCCACCCCGGGTCTCCAACCTGCATCCGCCCAGCCGGAACAGCTCTTCTCACTCCAGAAGCTGAAGGGAAAGATCTTTAAAAACAAACTATCCGCTCCGGAAGCGAAGCTCTTGGGATCTAGAACGTAGGAGCACTCCGAAGACAGGGGGTCGCGTCAGCTTCCTCCTGGCGCCCAGTAAGCGCTCAAAAAGTATTTATTGAATGGAGGAATGAATTCCTTTGGACTCCAGATCGCTTTGGGGTGTGTGTGTGGGGGGGGGAGTGCTGGTGGTGTAAAGAAGACCAAAGCTGCAGTCTGCTCAATTTTGAGTTTGATGCTTTTCAGTTCTGAAGCCAGAGAAGAAGTCCTGGAGCCTCCAGGAAGCGTAGGACGTGAGTTAAAAGGACCGAGAAAAAAGCTTGACTCCTAGTCCCCTTTTGCTCCTTGAGACCCACCTGCAGATAGGCGGTGCCAGTCTATGCCCGCTCGCTAGTCTTGGCGGAGCAGAGTCTACAGAGGCTTCCTCCCCCAATTCTGCTTGCCGGAAGAGAAGAAGCCTGTCTCAGGGTGGGTGGATTCCTGCGGCTGGGAAGCTTTTCAGTACCTTTCTTTAGAACCTATAACTCTTCGTTTCCCAGAGAGGTCCCCTTTCCCCTGCGCAGCTGTAGCCCCGTGGCGGCTGTTATTACTGGCGACTGGGGAAGGAGTTGGCTGGAGACACCCTTACCTAGGGACAGAGCCCAGATTCTGAGCCCACACTGGGGCTCCTAGCACACAGGATTCCTGAGAACTCAGCGTGCTCCAGCTCCTCACCCTCCCCAGAAGCCCAAGCCTGCAGGCCCCGGGTGAGGAGCATACGAACAAGGCCAGAATGGAGGAGAAAAATAGATTCTCACCTCCTCTCCTCTTGATACAGGGGAGAGTAGCCACACCTCAGTTCTCCATACTTTAGCGTTTCTGTCTTAGGGCCCACCAAACTTGGGATTTCCATGCACCTTGTATGAAAAGAATTCTTGCTCTTTTTGATTGCAACCAAGTGGAGATTACAGAACGCCAATATACTGATGTGTCTCTTTTGCTAGTGTGAGACAGTAGCAGAGAAATTAATTCACAGTTACTGCCTAGACTTCAGAGAAAAACAGGTGCCTTTCTCAGCCAAAGGCTGGGGGATGTGGTTGGAGGATGTTTCAGCCAATCTGAAGGCAGAAATTGTGGCTCCCTGATGACATCCAATCACATTTGGATAAAATTATTTATTTGATAAAATTAAAGATATTTGGGGACAAATTTACACAAAGAGCTTTAAACAGGGAGGTTGTATATGTTTATGCTTTATATTTCCCTCTCTCTTACAAATATCCAGTCTCGGGCAGAGAAGAAGCACCCAGACCTGGCTTACTTTCTTAAAAATAGACAATAGTCATTGTCTATCTTAATCAATTATGCTTCCCAAGAGAAGGGAAAAATAATCCCATGATGGTGTTGGGAGGTTCTCAGGACACATGAAAGGGATTTTCCCCCAGATCTTCCTGTGTCCCTCCCTCCCTCCTCAAATATACAGAAGTCCTAATACCTCAAAATGTGAACTTATTTGCAAATAGGGTCTTTACAGAGGTAACCAAGTTCAAATGAGGTCTTTAGTGTGGGCTCTAATCCAATATGACTTGTGTCCTTAAAAAAGGATAATTTGGGGCATAGAGACAGAGATCTCTTTCTCAAACCCCATAAATTTCAACATAAAAGTGAAGGGAGAGGGATGGGAGAGCAGTGCTAACTCTGAGATGTTCTGTGGACTCTCAGAAAAAGAACTGCGATGCATTTTGAAGGGTATAGGTGTAGGCATATTGGGACCGAGGTTCCCTACTGGTGTGGAGACAAATAACTAAAGAGAGGTGGGCAGGGTTTAAAGCATAGAGCAGTGGTTCTCAAACTTTAGTGTGCACCCCAATCACCTGAGGGCTTGTTAAAGATGTTGCTGGACTCAACCTCTGGAATCTCTGATTTAGTAAATCAGGGGCCTGAGAACTTGCATTTCTAATAGGTTGTTAGGTGATGCTGATGTTACTGAACCAGGGACCATGCTTCGAGAATCACTGCCATAAAGATCATTTTTGTATTTTAGACTTCTGATAGAAGTGAGGAGAAAGAATTGAGGAAGTCAAAAGATCTGCAGACCTCTTGGGAGCAGTGCCTAGGGAAGATGTGTGCTCGATGTGACAGCAGTGGGAATAAATGAGAAGTCTTGTTTATAAGTGAGGGAGAAAAGCCTGGCAAAATAGGACATTCTCCCAATACTGAAGAATGGTAGTGGCCAGTTTACCATTCTTGGGATGCCAATAGAACTTTGACCTATGGATGCCCACCTCTAGAGATACTAGAGGTCTCAAATGAGCCACACAAAATGGATTCAAGTGGCGCTATCTTCTGAGGTCTCTGGCTATGTTTATTTGTCCTGCTGGACATGACATAATGACGCAAGTGTGCAGGAGAAACTAGGAGAAATGCTTGCAGCCTTACCCTCTCCTGGACCATTTGGAAAGCTCTGTACATGTCCAAAATAATCGCCCGAGGCCCCCCCCAGGAAACTTGCTGCTAAGAATCTTTCTCATCTGTGAAAGAAATTCAGAGACTTGAAGCCTGGGAAGCCTGAGGTCCCAGAACAATGAAAATTGCAAGATCTCAGCCCAAGAATACAGAATCTCATCCATCACTATGTGGTTTCTTTCTTGTTTGACTTTCAAGAGTAGAATATTTTGTCTTCCAATTTCAAAGACTTGACACAGACCTCTGTATGACTATTGGGGCAGAGATCCTACAACTGTGCTCAGTATTCAAAGAAAACAACCAAATTATAAATACAGTTTATATTTACAATCTATTTCACTTGATTTTCTAAGTCCAAGTATATATATATTTTTAATCATATCCACTGTATGGGCTTAGACAAGGTGGGGTCCACATCCTTGACAGTAGTATGCTGTACTTGCACTCTCCTTTGATCCTTGGACAGAGACCTAAGGGTGTCTACCAGGATGTACATCCTATCGTCCTCCACTCTATCAACTGAGCTACCAAAAGATGCATAGTAAAATTTATGGAAAATATTTTTAGGAATCTATCCAGTTTTTTTCTCACAATCACGTATTGGTTACTTACTGTGTTGATTAAATCTTTTAGGTCCTTACTGATTTTTTGGTCTACTTGTTTAACACCTACTGAGAGAGGACTGTTAAAATACCCAATGATGGGGCGCCTGGGTGGCTCAGTCGTTAAGCGTCTGCCTTCGGCTCAGGTCATGATTCCAGAGACCTGGGATCGAGCCCCGCATCGGGCTCCCTGCTCGGCCAGGAGCCTGCTTCTCCCTCTCCCACTCCCCCTGCTTGTGTTCCCTCTCTAGCTGTCTCTCTCTGTCAAATAAATAAAATAAAATCTTTAAAAAAAAAAATACCCAATGATGACTGCGAAAAAAATACAAATAAATATCCAGTGATGATTGTGTATTTTTCTATTTCTCCTCTTAGTTCTGTCAACTTCTGTTTCTTATATATCTTATTCTTACAATGCTTTTTATATTTGCTTCTTATATTTTGTGTTTATCTTATAAAACATATCTTTTTATCTTTATATCTTACAACAACCTGTGTTATTAGATACAGAGAAATTCAGGAATATTGTGGGGTTTTTAAATGGAATTTATTTGTTAGGGCAGTTTCAGGTTCATAGCAAAACTGAGTAGAAAGTACAAAGAATTCCTGTATACCTCCTGCCCCCACACATGCACAGCTTCCTCCGCTATTAACATCCCACACCAGAGTGGTGTATTTGTTACAAGAGATGAACCAACATTGACACATCATTCTTACACAAAACCATAGTTTACATTAGGGACTCTTGTGGTTTCATGTGAATTTTAGGATTGTTCATTTCTATCTCTGTAAAGAATGACATTGGGATTTTGATAGGGATTGCCTTGAATCTATAGATCACTTTGGGTAGTTTGGATATTTTAACAATTTTAATTCTTCCAATCCATGGACACCAGATGTCTATTTATCTGTGTCTTCTTTAGTTTCCTTCATTAATGTTTTATAATTTTCAGTGTATAAGTCTTTCACATCTTTACCTAAGTATATGTGTATCTATATCTATAAATAACAATTTTCCTGTAACTTAAGAGTTGGTTCTCTTTTATCACAAAGACTACTTCTATTTCCTCTTTCCTCATGGCAGTATATCAAGTATTTGAGCATGGTGATGATGTCCCTCAAGTTTTCTCTTTGGCATATCTAAGATCTTCAGTTCCATTAAACATTCTTCCTTTAATGTGCTAGCCAGCCAGCCAATCAGTCCTCTGCATTCCTGGTGGTTCACCTGGCATATGCCTGAGAGCAGTGCTTACAAAATCATCCTGATAGAAAGAAAGGTGGACAGTCGTGAGCTGTGTAAGGAGGAAGATATCAAAGTCAAAAGGACAACAGTGGGAAGTCTGAACAGAGGTGGCCAGAGAAAGCTTTTACAGAGACCAGAGTAATCTTCAGGTGACATTTAAAGGAGCTATGGAAGGCAGAATAAGTCAGCAAGAATTCCTGGGCACTGTGCAAGGGTTTATAGGGTAGGGCTTGACTTTTCAATCCTTAAAAGGTTTCCTTTAGAACACAAGCCATCAATTTTGTAGAGAGTCAGCTGAAACCCTTCCTTAGCCTATTGATGGAAACAGTGGCTCAAGGATAGCTATACAAGAAGCACTACTGTGCCCCTCCTCTGGCTGAGCTGTCTATGGATCTATGCCACATTTCCTCACTTTGTGTTTAGGATACTGCCAGGTTTGAGTCTCTTAAGAGATGGGACAGAACAGTCCTGCAAGTTTGTTGGGTCCAAAAGGGGGGCAGGGGGCACTAATGAAATGCAGAAATGAAGTCTTGGGGAGTCACTATTGTTTTTAGTGTCACAAGGTTGGATCTTACAGGTTTGAACCCTGGCCCTCTGGTGCCCAAAGTGAGAATCACGTGTAATGAGAATCCTATCATGAGCCAAAGGCCTAAACAGCCACATCCTTTGAAGGACATGCATTTTCATTGAGACCCATCCCAGGCAGTTTCTGGTAAGTCTTGTGATGTCCTTTATACACTTTAATTACTCTGATCCCCTTATTACCCAGTCTTAGTTTCCTCACACTCTGTTAAAAACATGAAATCTCTTGCTCAAATCCTGCAATTAAGCTCACCCTGTTTGGGATTGAAGGCCATTCCATCCCGGCCTAAGAAAAGCAGAGTCTTATAGAAGCTGTGAGTCCAAAAACCTCCTTTTAGCATCCCCGTAGCCTGTCCTACTTGCCAAGACCTGAGAGCATCCAGATGCAGCTCAGATCACACCCAGTGCCGCTAAGTCTAAAGAAAAGCCAAAAGATGAGTGGCACTGGTCATCCACTTAGCAGGACAGAATGAGACTTCTTTTATTTTATTTTATTTTTTTAATTTAATTTAATTTTTTTTTCAGAATGAGACTTCTTTTAGTGGAAAGTGTGTTTCCTTGGGAGTCTGAAACCATGCACTGGCTGGAGAAAGGAGGTTAGAAAGTTTTCAGAGGAAACCTGCCCTAGCAGGGCTGAATGCATATGCCATGTTAAACTGATTCTACCTAGTGTTTGGCTGAGGACATTGCCTTAGAGATTCTCACTCTCAATAGGTAACCTTATGTTTATGTTTAGGTAACTCCTCCCCTTTTCTGAATAGATACTCTGTGTGCTGGTATCTGGCACACCATTTAGTGACCACATACATATGAGAATTGACGCCTGAATTCAGATTGGTTTCCTAGAATTTACACTTACACTGGATGAGAGCTGGAAGGCCCTTGAAGATTTTTAGTGCTTGTTTACCAAGAATTCCAGGAAGAGGAAAATAAAAGATTCCATGGTATTCCAGATTTCTGTGGGTTGAAATCTCCTTTTTTTCTCTACACATGCCTCTGCATTTGTTTGCTCTCCATTTCAAATACTTATTAATGCCCTGATATGTGCTGATCACTTTGTTAGGTATGGAGACTCAGAAGTATGAATCATACAACTTTCCCCTCAAGGAGCTGAGGAATAAACTAATGCATGTGATTCTTAAAACAAAATGAACTTAGTAGTCTATAGCTAAGTGCACTAGAATCTCCTTCCCTTTTTCTTTGCTTTCTCATTTGTTCTTTCTTTGTGTCTTTTGTAGCATTTTCAAAAAGATGGACATAGGTGGGGTGCCTGGCTGGCTAGGTTGGTGGAACATGTGACTCTTGATCTCGGGGTTGGGAGTTCAAGCCCCACATCTCTGGTGTAGAGATTACTTAAAAATAAAATCTTAAAAAAAAAAAAAAAAAAAGATGGGCAAAGGAATAGATAGGAAACCACAATTTAGAAGTAGCTCTGGAAAATTAAAAAATAAAATTAAAATGTGTGCTATCTTTTGACAATCTTTCATATAAGATGAAGAAATATGGGAAGGAGAACAGAAAAATTTGACAATTTCATAAACAATTGAATATATGTTGAAGGGGTAATGTCAATCTGGATGCTTACTTCTAGGTGCCATGGGTCACCTCCATTATATCTGTCTTATTCGGTATCTTGAGAGTGGGAGTGAAGAGGAAGGAATGGTAAGGATTAAAAAAAAAAGTATCATGGGTTTCAGAGGAGAGAAGAGATGAAATCTACTCCGTAAACAGCAAAGGCATTGTGAATTTTATAAGAACATCGACATGGGTTTTCCAGGATAAGTAGTGTTTGACAGGTATGGTGAAATGAGAAATCATTCTAGTTGATGAAGCAAATGGTCACAACTGAAAAAGGTGTGAGTTCTATTTGGGGAATTATAAGTGGACTGGAACAAAGATCTGTTGGCAATTTACAGCAGTCATTTGGTAAATGTTGATCTAAATATTAGAAGTTAAAAGCAGTAAGGTAGAGAGACACATACTGAGAGTACTTTAGTGTAGTTGAGAGTCTTTAAATTGAAAACAATTTTTGCTAAAATAAAAAAGGAGGATTTCTGTGATAATCCAGGAAAATCTCATAGATTCCAAAAGTGGAACACACTGAGGCTTCTGGAGTGGGCCATAGCTAGGGACTTAGATGTGAAACTTCCTTTCTTGATATCACCCCTCCTTGTGCTTTGGCATGCTCTCCCTTGTGCTCTTTCTATGGTAATGTTTTCTCTGCTTCTCAGTTCATGTGGTGGAATATGATTGATGTTACAACTCTTACAACTCTAATTTCCTTTCTAGTAATTGTGGGCTAATTAATTTGGACCAAACTCCTTGAAGAAAAATGATAAAAATACTGGATAAGATTTTACCAAATCTTAAAAGCATCAAAGTACTAAAATGGTAGCAAGCAACTACTAGGCCAGAATCTAAGCAAAAGATGGAATCTGAGAGGTAAGGGAAGCACTGACCTTTGTAGCTCTGAAGACATTTGCTAATTACTGCAAAATTGGGCTATAGTTTTGGCGGACTCTTTGGATGGGAGAAACAAGAGGAACAGATGTCAAGATCCAGCACCTACCCAAAATGGAAAATCAAGTAAGACACTCTCCCCAAATATTAAGTCTAATATTAATTTAACATTAATATTAAAGAGCTATTCCCATAAGGCAAGGATGAACAAGAAGTAAACCTACCTCTATCTTCCCACTTCCAATAACTGTTTTGGAGCTCAGCAGAAATCAGCTGAGCTTAGCAAGGAAAACTGGAAAGAATGAGCTTTCAACTTTTCCTGAGAAGCTGTGACCACAGGTCTCCATTCTCCCTGATTTGCAGTTTGGGTTTAATGTCATCTTGAAGGCTCAGAAATGTCCGGCCAATAACTTTTTTAAGGATCCTTTTGGGTTGATAGTGCTCTAGATGCCTGGGAGAAACAAAAGATATACATATATATATGTATGTATTATAATATATATTTTTTTTCAGGAAGTCACCTTCATCTTTGCCTCAAAAATTCACTGCATATAATTTTCCCAAGACATTGAGCAGTGCACACAAAGATGACCAATTATACAAGGAGACAAAGTAACATGAGTAAGAATCAACTAGAACAATAGATAGAATAATATTGGGATTATCAGTTATACATATTAAAATGAATATAATTAATGTGTTTGAAGAAATAGAAGACAAGCTGGTGAATATCTGCAAGGAATAGGAAATTCAACAATTTGACTTAACTGTTGGTAGGATTATAAACTAGTACAGCTGTTATAGCAAACAGTATGGAGAATCCTCAAAACAAAAACAAAACAAAAAGCAAAACCAGAACTACCATAAGATCCAGCAATTCCACTTCTGGGAATACATCCAAAGGAAACAAAAACACTAACTTAAAAAAGATACCTGCATCTGCATGTTCGTGGCAGCATTATTTACAATAGCCAAGATATGAAAACAGCCTAAGTGTCCACTGACGAATGAATGGATAAAGAAGTTGTGATATATATATAATGGAATATTATTTATCCATAAAAATGAAGAAATCTTGCCATTTGGGACAACATGGATGGAACTTGAGGGCATTATGCTAAGTGGAATAAGTCAGAGAGAGAAAGACAAATACTGGATAATCTCACGTATATGTGGAATCTAAAAACAAAAACAAAAAACAAAATCATAGAAAAACAGATCAGATTTGTGATTACCAGAGGCAGGGGTTGGGGAAAGGGTATAGGAGAGAGGTTGTCAAAAGGTACAAAGTACTTGTTACAAGATAAATAACTTAAGTACATGTAATGGACAGCATGATGACTACAGTTAACATTGCTGCATGATATACATGAAAATTGTTCAAAGATTAAATCCTAAGAGTTCTCATCACAAGGGAAAACTTTTTTCTTTTGTTTTTTTGATTTCTCTTTTTATTATATCTATATGAGATAATGGATTCTAAATAAGCTTATAGCAGTGATCATTTCACAATATATGGAAGTCAAACCATTAGGCTGTACACCTTATTTTTTTAATTTTTTAAAGATTTTATTTATTCATTTGACAAAGAGAGAGAGGGAACACAAGCAGGGGGAGCAACAGGCAGAGGGAGAAGCAGGCTCCCTGCCGAGCAAAGAGCCCCATGTGGGGCTGGATCCCAGGACCCTGGGATCATGACCTGAGCCAAACGCAGATGCTTAACTGACTGAGCCATCCAGGCGCCCCTAGGCTGTGCACCTTAAACTTATATAGGGATGTATGTCAATTATATCTCAATAAAACTGGAAAAAAATGTTGGCTTCATAGTTTTGAAAAAGAATCAGAACTTCTAGAATTGAAAATTACAGTTTATAATTACATTGACTCAGTGGGTGGATTTAACAGCTGATTAAACATACCTGTAGCAAGCATTACTGGATTAAGAATATGTTATTCAGAATGCAGCATGGAGAGACAAAAAGAAAATATGGAAGAGAAGGTAAAAGAAATGAAGGGCAAGGTATGAGGGTTTAACTCCAGTTTCATAAATGGAGAAAAGAAAAATAAAGCAAAACAACACTTGAAAAGCTGACCAAGAATTTTCCAGACCTGACAAAAGATAATGATCTACGGACTTAAGAAATCCCATATCTCACCACTGAAAAAATATGGGATTTCCCTATGGTATCATTCACTCCTGTTTTATACATCTAAATTGAAATCTTCCCTGGATGACTCTAACTGGTGGAACCTAGGTCACATGCCCACTCCCAGCTGCTAGCTGGGAAAGCAAATTTTCTAGGACAGACTTACTTATAATATGTGAAATTACCAAATGTAAGGACAATATTCAAAAAATATTGGACATCCACTCATAGGACAAATGCCCGCAACAGAGTTATTCAACTCATGTTCAGGCCTCAGCAATTTTCCTTTTGTACTCTCTTCCTTCAAGAGCCCCTAACTCTTAGAGGCTCTAACTCAATGGATAATTTATGTAATTTGATCTACCCATGATTTACCAATCTTATGGACTTCCAGACACAAGAGTATTCTAGCTATTGTACAATTCCCATAAACTCCCCCAATCTCACTTCAAACCCAGCCTACCTAAATCCTTGCACTTCATCTTCTGCCCTTTCCAGGTACTCATCTCTCCTTTAGACTTTTTTTTCCTGCAAACATCATCTTGCTTTTTCAAGGCATAATATTTGAGAGTCCTCCCTGACTCTTTCATCTTTTTTATCTCTTACTTATTCTTTATTCATATCTAACTTCAGCCAAATCTGCCTTCCCTCTAGTTCCCTCATTCCTTCCTTCCTTTCCAGGTCCATAACTTGACCCTCTTGCAGCTTTATTTGAGCGTCTGCACCATGGCTAATCTCTGATGTACCTCTGACTCTGGTTTCTCTTCCCTTCAATTCATTCTGCATATCCATGCCTGGTGAGTTTCCATTTTTCAATTTTTTAAAAATTTAAATTCAATTAGCCAACATAGAGTACATAGAGTTCTGATGCCGTGTTCAATGTCCAGTTGCAATTTTTTTAAGGGTGTAACTTCATTCCAGAAATCTCTCAGTCCCCTATTAACCTGACTTCTTACCTTCCCTTATTTCCAGGAGGGCAGATATCTGCCCCAGCCGGTGTTCTGCCTCCGCTCCTTAAGCCTCGGTTTTTCTTTCAGACTCTGCTCATACATTTTCTTCTACCAGAGATCACTCGGCCCCCAAACTTGTGTCTTAACCTCTCAAGTGCAGCTCAAACCCCACCCCCACCTGAAGGACCGCCTCTGTGAAGGCTCACACCGCAAATCTGCGAAGCTTGGCACTGTCCACCAGCCGCTCACAGCAGGCACAGCTACTTTTCACTGTTCTCTTTCATAAAAACTAAAGTTCTCTTAGTCCACAAGACTATGACAGGGACTTCAAGTTAAAGACCGTATCCGATGCCTTGTTCCTAGTGCACAGCCCAGCACAGAATTGGGAGTTCAGTGTTTGCTGCATGAAGGAATGAATTAAATAACGAATTAACAAATGCTTGCTCTGGCGCAGAGACTCGAGCTGTAAGAAAGGTCCCTACACATAAGGAACTTGAAGGAAGTTGGAAGTCGGTGGCTATCCTGAGTCAAGGAGAAAATCAGTGGAAAGGCTCAGTTTCAGCGGAGAGACCCGTGGTAGTCAACTTCCTCTACGCCGCGTCTCTCCTCTTCATTTTTAGACTGCGGCCGGGGGCGGAGGGAGGGGTGAGGTGGACTCTGTGTTATAATGTGTTGGGTTAGGCAGAGTCCTGCAATCTTAAAATAGTGGTGGCTGTTATCACTGGCCCTCATATTGCGTTGTCCCTAGCAAGAGCCTGCAGACCAAATTCCAACAGTAAATAGATTGAAAAGAAGTTCGCATTTTGTCTGCTGCTTACACTTAATTCCTCTAACAAAGACCCATCATAAAAACTTTCCTTTTCAAAGAAAGAAGCAAGACGCTCGTCCGCGAGGCCCTATAGCTCAGGGGTTAGAGCACTGGTCTTGTAAACCAGGGGTCGCGAGTTCAAATCTCGCTGGGGCCTTCCACCTATTTCTTATCGTTTTAAATCCTTACTGGACAACCCCCCTTCCAGTAACCTTAACCCCCGCGGAAATTCGGTTCACGTATCGTCTCGCCGCAGTCCCGACTACCCGAGTAAACCACGCTGAGCGGATCCGCTTCCTCTCACGCGCTACTGCGCAAGTGCGGCTCTGCTGCCTGGATTGTGGCGGAGTCCATTACAAACTGCGGGAAACGCCGCCTGCCTCCGCGGACGCCCGGGTTGTGCCGACCCGCCGCGAGAGCCCTTCCCCAGGGCCGCCGGAGCCCGAGCCGGGCCGAGGGCGGTGGGGGAAGACCATGGAGTCGAGCCCAGTGCCTCGCTCCGCACAGGCTTGGAGCCCAGAACAAGCTCCACTCCCCAAAGGGGAGGAGGCCCTCGGGAGAGAGTAGGCTGTCCCGCAAGGTTTCCTGTTTCAGCCGGTTTTCGAACACTTCACTATCATCCCAGCGGGAAGACGAAAGTCGAGACTTGGGTCACTAAGTTTGTTATTGACTCAGAAGAATTGCGGCTTCCCCTTTGAAAAACCTTAAGATATTTTCTCCAGAAGTCCTTTCTCGCAGAAACATTGGGGTTACCCATGTGTGCTATATTCCACATCCTCTCCCTCCCCGAGTCTGTGGACGTACAAACGGAAGAGTTGCGGTTTGCCTGTGCGAACGAGCCTGAATTCCCAGGCGAGCACAGGAAGTGAGGAAACGCGAAGAGGCGCGAGCCAGAGCCGGGAGGCCCGCCCTCTCTGCCTGGCGCGGGGCTGCGCGAGCGGAACCGTGTGTCCCACCGCCGCACTCCCTGGCTCTTCGAGGCCGGGGTGGCGGCTCCCACTCCACACGTATCACGTTGGGAGGTCCCGCCCGGGCCGCGCGCTCCCGAAGCCAACGGCCCCCCGGACGAGCAGTGCCCTCGCCCCGGGCGGCCTCGTGATGCACGGGGTCTCGGGGTGCCTGTGAGGAGCCCACGGATTGGCCCCCCACCCCTCGGTGGAGTAGGGGAATCCAGCTCTGGAAGGGTTGTCCCCAGAACTGCGGGCGGGACTTTCTCACAAGCTGGCTTTGTGACTCTGCGATGTCCACCCGCCGGCAGAAGATCGTTTCTCACACGCCTCTATTTGTAGATGTCCTGAATGGGTGACTCTAGAGAGGTGCTTTCCGTGCCCCCTTCGATAGCTCAGCTGGTAGAGCGGAGGACTGTAGTGCGCTTCCCGTATAGTCATCCTTAGGTCGCTGGTTCGATTCCGGCTCGAAGGAGGAGCTGCAGTTTTGGGGTTTGCAGTCATCCAGGGAGCCGTTGCCCTCTTGTTTCCTCCGGGGCTCTTTGTCTTCTAGAGTCGACTTCTCCAGCCTCATTCCTGTGCCAAAGAAAACGTTTGAGCCCGCCAAGCACATGTGAACAAATGGATCCTGTTGGGCAGTTTCTTATATTGCGAGGAGGGCCAACTCTGTTAGCCAATTGGAAGAACTCGAAGTTAACCTTCCCTCAGATGTTTCTTTTGGCTTCTAGTTGATCCTCGATTGCTGCCTGAAGTCCACGGTTCGGAAACCCGAAACCTCTCGTTGATACAGAACCCGATGCATAAACGCTGTGTGCGCATGTCTGCGCCATGCGGCCCGGGGGCTCCAGTTTGCGGAAGAAATCGCCGAAACTGGGGCTCTCGTCCCGAGTGTCCGCCCCCCTCCGTACACACATCCATTACACGGCAGTTTTAGTTTATTTATCTTTTTGCAATTATTTATAGTTCTACAAAAAAGATTTTGAGACAGAACAGGAAAGGGTAACAGGATTTGACGCGAGTTGGGGTAAGACTGGGAGAAAGAATTCCAGACCGAAGAAACAAGTGAAACAAAGGTGGGGAGATGGAACACTTGATTCTCCTTCGGGGGCCTGGACAATCCGAACACACGCCAGACTGGCGCACCTCCCACCGATTCCGGCTCTCGGCATTTTGATGCCCACCCTTTCCCGCCCCTAGAATGTTAGGCTCGCGCCAGGTAGTAGCCGCCTGACACGCTTCCCGCGCGTCCAGCCTGGGGCTCAGGACCCTCCAGCCTCGCAAGCGAGGTCCGCTCGGGTCCTCGCACTTCCGCCGCCTTCCTACCAGGCCCCCGCCAGGCCCCCGCTAGGCTCGAGCTCGCGCCCAGAACCGTCCAGAGGTGCTCGGTGGAGCTCACCCACGCGGCCTGCTGTCTGGAAACTGCCCCTCCTCACCCCATCCGGCCTCTGGAGGGGTCCAGGATGTGGATCGGGGAGAATAAGCGAGGCTAGGACCCGTGTCAGGTTTCAAAAGTGAGACCTCATGAAGATGGGAGAAAGCAAAGCAAGGCAAGAAGTAAATGTCACAATGTGGAACAGAGCTCCCGGGCAGCCTGGCGGCCAACTTGCACACTGGAAAGTACTGTTCAGAGGAAACACAGGCACGCTTTTACGGCTGTGGCTCGTTGGTCTAGGGGTATGATTCTCGCTTTGGGTGCGAGAGGTCCCGGGTTCAAATCCCGGACGAGCCCTGGTTTTCGATTTTTTTTTTTTTTTCCCCCTCCTTCCTTCGAAACTATGCAAAAGTTCAATTCTGCACAAACTTTCTCGCTTTCCGACTGTTCTGCACAAGAGAGGTGCGCTGAACCAACGCGTGCCAGAGGGGGCTGATGAGCTCTGCGGGGAGAAACTGCCGGGACTCTCCGCCAGCGGACACCTCGGAGGGACCGCCTCGCTCCCGGGAGCAGGGGCTGGTGTCCCAAGGCCCGCTGTCCCTGGAGGCTATGTCCTCGCGGCCGCTGCGCGTGGGGGCTCGGATCTGCAGGCCCTCTCCTTTCCCAGACAGGGCCCGCCCGCGGCGCCCACTCCAGAGAGGCAGGTCCAGGCGGGAGGCGCCTCCCGGGAGAAACAGGGCGCGGTCCCAACCGCACAGAGGCTCCGGCGCCGCCCTCCTCGCCCGGCTGCATCCCCCGTCCGTTCGTGTACACACACGCACGGCGACCCCACCCAGGATCCAAAGCAAGATTTAAAAGGACGTCTTTGCGTCTTCCACAGCTCCCTATCATCATACAAGGGGGATTAGAAGCCGGTGAGAAAAACTTTCCACCGTCCTGCGCGTTTCTGCAGCCCTGTTCCCTGGCCGAGGTGGGTTCACGTCCTGCTCTCTCTCCTCCTCCTCCTCGTCAGTAGTTTTACCAAGAGCGTTTGGGCCCCTTCTTAGCAGAGGCAGTGTGGGGCTCCTCGGGGAGGCGTTTGCAGAACCGGGTTGGAGCCGCTGAGGAATGGGAAGAAAGGTGAGTCTTGTTCTTTTATGAGTTAGCGAAGTCTGCATTCCCACCCTGAGATTTACTTCCCGCAACTGAGCAGAGATGGCTGCGTGAAAGTCTAGTGCCTAGAATGTAGGCTCAGAGGAGGGTGCAGAATTGGCGAACGGAATGGAAGCCAGGGAAGGCCTGCATTTGCTCACACCTAAGGATTCTTTACTTGGGACACAGGTTGATCGCCAGATTTATGAAGCAGGCCTTCCTTGTCCAGTTTTTGCCAGCATAACTGCCTTTGGGGACTTGCGTTTTTGTTTTCTGGTGACTCACTTATGTCTCCTCACCCTTAACCCACCCGCAGCCAGGGTTGCAAAATTCTGGGAGACACTGCCAACAGCCTCCTTTCTAAGCTTTCTTACTAGAATGTTGGGATCCTCAACCTCTTTACTCTGAGACAGCGTGTCTTGTGGTAACACATGGGCAAAACAGAGCATCTTTATTTAGAAAGGACAGTAAAAACAGTTTCAGCATCATTCTGGGTCTAGGGAAATCTCAAATGAGGCAAGACCCTCCCTCTGTGTCCTTAAGAACCTTATAATCAAGTCATAAATGTAATCACTAGAAACTCAGGTGGCATAATTATCTGAACCCCACTGGCCAACTTCCCAGAAGCAGCCTCAAGTATTCGAGGAACTACTTAACTACACACTTACTAACTAGCTCCTGCAGAAGGACAGTTTTGTTACACATACTTTATTTTAAGCAACTCTTTTTCCCAGGTAAAATATTTTTGAAATTCATGGAAATATTTAGTAGGTTTCCTTAAACAGCAACTTTCAATGGCACCTTTAAAATTAGTTTTAATTTTCTAGAAATTGCTAGTGTGGAATATGAAAGCCGTGTGGTACACTGGAAAGCTTCTAGTCCCTGGACACCAGATGTTCTTGGGCCAGTGCAGAAACACCTCAGTTTCCTCATCTGTACAATGAGGGCTTGATAGATAGTCTCCAGGTCTTCCTCTTTCTTATTCTATGACTTCATGGGGTGGCAGGGTGTTAGTAAGATGGCACTTACAGAAAAGAAGGTACTCTAGTAATGTGGACAAGAGCTATGAAGTTTGGCAGAAAGGACAGGGAAAACCATTCCAGGAAAAGAGGAATGGCTCTGGCTATTGCTGAAAGAGCAGATGTCAGGTTACAAGCAGGCAAAGGTAAGAGATTTGTCAAGTTATTGTTGGAAGCATTTGCCCATGTGATTCAGAAATTAAAGTAGATGGCTAAGAAAGTGGACCAAAGCAGGCCAAATGAAACCCCTCATTAGGAGTTTCCGTTTAATCTGTACTTGAGCAAAGAGCAATCTTTGTTAAAGGTTATTCTCAGAAGAACACCTTGAGATATCTGGGAAAGAGAATGGGCACAAAGCTCAGAGTTTGTTGAAAAGTGAATGTGTAATTTTTGTCTTTGTTTGAAAATACACAGGCATGTAAACAAGACTTCGGCCCATTCTCCCTCAGTCATAGTGTCCCCTCTTCCTGAAGACATGATCCTTCTTTTCATTGGATCTTCATCCTCTTTTAACCATTACTTCTGTTAGTAAATTAGTTTCATGCTTGTAAACCTAAAAAAAATGTTAGAGTTAAACCAAATTTAGAGATTAGTCACTTCTCTCCATCACCTAATTTTATAATTTGTCTTAAGGACAGAATTAAACATATATACTCTGTATAAAGGGTAAAGGACACCAGCACTTGAGTCCTTAGAAGGAGAACCCTGGGCTTCCTGTGTCTTTGTGCAAGGTGTAAAGAAGAGACAAAGGAAAATTTTCAGGAAAAGGGGAATGATTTTCAAGCTGAAGCTGTCAAAACATTTAAAAGAATATATGATTGGGCTTTTTTCAATTGACAATTGCTTCACCCCTATTAAAATTACTGGGAAGAGATATATATAATTCCTTGTTGTAAGTATTTTGAAATACAAATGAGTAAGCACTTAGATGCATTGTAATGAAATAGTCAAACTTTTTTTTTCCCCAAACCTTTATTTTATGTTTCATCAAAACCTCATTGTGCCAAGCTGAAAAGAAAAGAAAAGAAAAAAAGAAAGAAAAACAATTAGAATGAAAGCAACCATTCGCCATTCACCTAGCTGGCTTTTTACCTGGTCAACTATGTGGGGGAGGTTGTGAATTCTCCCCAAGTTGTCAAGTGAAATCCTAGAGGTGAGGAAGGGACCTGGCTGTATTCAGAGGTGAAAGACTGCTCCCCAGCACCACAGCGTAAAGCTAACATCAGAGGCTGATCTGTTTGTGTGAGTTGGTGTTTGAACTGGTGTTTCAAGCCATGGGACTGTGTGTGTGTGTGTGTGTGTGTGTGTGTGTGTGTGTGTGTGTGTGTGATGTGGGAATGGAGTACCTTATCTCTGCCTTTAGGTGATTTATCAGAGAAGGATCCTGTTGATCAAGTCATCTTGATCCCCACAGACTGGGAGTTGGCAGCTTCTTCTGTAGTCTGGGATTGCTGAGGCCTTAGGGGTGTTGTATGGGCCTGGCAGTGTCCTCCCCACCAAATGACTGGCTTATAGCTCTTTAGAACTCACTTCTTCAGCATCTATTTAAAAAGTAATAAGTAATATATGATTCACTTAAAATAGGTACCACTCAAATCGTGGGTTTGCCTACAAAAGGAAAGTCAGCATTAGGACACTCTCTTAGATACCGGTAGAGGCCCCACTCAGCGAGCCCCATGTCTTGTTGATTCTCTCTGTACCTAAAGGACTTTGAACTTTGGTATTTGGCAGAACAGTTGTGTGGGCTTCAGTGACTCTGAGGCGCCAGGTACTGAGGGAGAGGCAGTTTGTGGCTGTGTGCTTGGTACTTTTCTCACTTCCTTAGACTTTTTTCCTTTTAGCTCAGAATTTGGGTGGAGATGCAGGAAAAAGGGAAGAGGACAGGGGAAAAAAGTGACGCTTAAGCAGGACTCTGCCTCACCACAGCTGAAAACCTGTGAAGTTTGCCTTTTTCAGGTTTGCCATGCTGCCCACTTTTCTCCCTCCTCAAATCCTTAGGCCATTCCAGTTACCAAAAACTATTCTTCTTTTTTTAAGATTTTATTTACTTATTTGGCGGGGGCAGGAAGGGTATGTCAGTAGGGAGGGGCAGAAGCAGACTCCCTACCAAGCAGGGAGCCTGATGTAGGGCTTGATCCCAGGACCCCTGGATCATGGCCTAAGCTAAGGCAGATGCTTAACCGACTGAGCCACTCAGGCGCCCCCTACCAAAAACTCTTCTTAAGATAGCCTCTAAAGTATAAGCACAAGCATGTGTGAATCACAGACAGCTGTTTAAGGAGCTAATCCTCCTAGGGATTTTTGCATTAGAATAGGAACCAATACCTAAGAAATGAAGGTCAGGATTTACCAGTAATACCAGAAGCAGAGTTTTCTGGGAACCTTGAAAGCCTTCCTGCTCTACCAGGGAATTAGGCCTACCTTGTTTGGTAACTGGTACCAAACCCAATTGTGTCTGTAAGTCTTAAGAGAAGCCAGGAGAGTTTGTATGGTTGGGATCTCCAAAGTGAGATCAGGTGGTACATTTCTAGAAGCAATGAGGGATAACAAGAAGAACCTGGGCCTAGGAGTCAGTCACTCTGAGATACTAAGAATGCAGAGATGAATGACACAATTATTCTTCTCTCTAAGGGTTCCATCTAATGGAGAGACAAGAAGACTAATTAATCATCAAAGGATGATGGCTAATGGACTGTTTGCCAACCTAAAGTAAAGCCAGATCCACCCCA